GCGGTCACGTACCGGTTTGGCTGGGTGGGGCAGGACCCCCAGTTCTGCTTGGGGGACCTGACAGATGACGTGCTGTATCCCCGCCTGCCGCTGTCCCGCGCCTTCACTAACACTTTTGGACCCTCATTGTCCAACTCTGGCAGTGGGGGGGTCAACAGCACGTCAGGTGGGGGAGGAAGTGGAGGGGTTGAGGGTCACCATCACCCACCTAACACCAACACCGGCACCTCAAACCCACCAACTCTCCCCTTACCGCTTCCTCGCTCCCTGTCACGCTCCAACTCTCTACCCCACCCTGCTGTCGCAAATGCCTCCAAGGGCCAGGGTGCCTCGGAGGGCAGCGGGGGAGGAGGGGGCGGCAGCAGCAGTGGAGGAAACAGCACCCCATTCAGCATCGGCCGCTTTGCCACGCTATCGCTCCAGGAGCGCAAGTCGGACAAGTCAGGTGGCAGCGGCGGTGTAGAGAAGGAGCACAAGCGTTACCACAGCTTGGGCAACATCAGCAAAAGCAACGATAAGATCAACGTGGCGCCGAGGAGCAACCGGCTGGACGCTGCTAAGGTCCTGGGCACCACGCTGTGCCCACGCATGCATGAAGTGCCACTGCTGGAGCCACTGGTGTGCAAGAAGATTGCACATGAGAGGCTGACTGTCCTGGTGTTCATGGATGACTGCATCATCACAGCCTGCCAGGAGGGTCTGATCTGCACCTGGGCACGGCCGGGAAAGGCGGTACGTCCTCAGTCAGCTCTGTCATTAGGAAAGAAATCACAGATTGGGTCACTCCACTTTGCTCCAATCTGGTTTTACTTCTTTCAGGATGCTCATTATGAAGTGATAATTAGTCTACTTACTGTTAGCTGTTCGTTTATGTTACTGCTTTGTCCGTAAAACTGAACTTTGCCGAGGTCATACGTTTTTTTGCTCAGGTCTGTAATTCGTTTGTTCCTGTGATAATTTTGTTAACAAAAACTATGACAAAAATACTCATTGGTGACTCGTTTTTCAGGATGAAAACGAAACTAAAACCAATAAAAAGTATTTGATAACGAGAACTATGACAAAATGTTTTACATTTTTGTCATTGGATAAAAAGTAAATGATCACGTGAAAGACGGACGAATGGGTATGAAGTAACTTGGCGACCCTCCACATCAGTGGGATCACAAACTGGGAGTCCTGGTCAGTAAAACCGTTTCCTCCACTGCCGCTTGACTTGTTTCACTACCATCTTACATTCAGTAACATTCTGTCCCTGGCGTTAGCGCTTCTTGGGAGAAACAGCCTTATGAATCATGCTCATCTTCAGTCCAGAGAATTATGCACAAAAACCACTGGGAGACCAGGCAGGTAACATGAACCGCTGTGGATGGAGATGCAACATTAACGGTCCTTTCAGTCGGAGATCTGTTGTGTTGCTCTGTCAGGTCCAGGATTAACACAGGCAGTCAACTATAAATCATCAGGTTCACTGATGATTTGGCTTCTCCAAGCTGAACCCAGTGAAGAGGATTTTAGTAGAAATGTGAGGGAGTCAAGGGACGCAAGTCTCAGGTTAGACGGGAACAGCACGTGTAACCATGGTAACCGTACACAACCAGAATGAAGAAGATATAGCCTACATTAAAAATGCAGTTTAAAAACAACATAAATGACGTTAAAATGATTTTGTTTTTAGTGCCTAAAACTAACAAAGATCAAAATATTCAAATGAATGAACACTGGTTTGTTCTGAGTAGATATTTCAGACTCTTCAAAAGTGGAATAAACGACTCAACAGTTGCACATGAGTGCACCTGTTCTTTCCTAAGCAACAGGTGCTGGTTATCTTTGTGAGCTTACAGGTGAAACAGATTTTCTTTGTGCGATCATCCCTCCGGTCTAACTGGCCTTTATGTTCTCTCTCTCTCTCTCTCTCTCTCTCTCTCTCAGAACTTGACAGCACAGAACGGGAACTCTCCGAGTGGCACCGTGGTATAGCCGGAGGGGAAGCTTTGCCCCCATCCCTCCTTCATCTCCTCGTTCTTCGTTGTCTCCTCTGTGTCCGACACCCTCTCCATGCAAAAATGTCAAATATGGGGCCAACGACCAGAGACTGCACCCGACCTGCCACTGCAGTATTATACCTTCACTGTAGCTGCCTGTACCGGCCGTGACCCAAAGCCTGTCCCAGATCACTTTACTCTAACGGTGGCCACACTGTGTGGGGATACTCTTCCTGAAGCACCGGCACATGCACTATGAAAGTATCACCACTTCAACAGAGTGATGAAGTCTCCAAACAAATACTTAGAGTTAACTGGCAGGTTTCCAGATAGACCATGGATCAGGCCACATATTCCTGTCTGCGTCTGCCCCATGTCCAAGAGCGTGGCGTCCAAACCCGGCCTGACAGGCTCATCGTATATAATGTCAGAATGTAACTGAATCTGTGCGGTGTTCTCCCCCTTATTAGCTGAAGCAGACATTTGTGTGCTCCACCTGTTCAACCTACTTGTACGAACACAAACCCGGCCCGAACCCTGGAGTACCAATGGGCGTTCTGTTCAGGTACCCACGCTCTAACCTGAACAAAGTAAAGATGCTAGCACAGTTAGCCATTAGCTTTTCTTATATTTAGATTCTTATATTAGTCCTCTTACCTAAAGATACATGAGCAGTAACTGCTTTTAGTGTTTTGTTCATATTTAAAAGCATCATGACTTCAGCTCTGCCTTCCCTCAGTATTGTTTATTTGTCAGCAGTCGTCCATTTTTAAAGGGTTTGGTTTGCTTCAGCAGTTTAATGATTTAACGGTCACCTGCCCAAAACAAGCAACGTGTATTCTGACCGTGATGTAGCTTAAGATTTAGACGATTTACATTCTTGGTAAGAAATCTGAGCTGCTACGTGTCTGCATCCTGATGGTTTATGCAGCAGGTAACAGGTGCACTGTGCTTCAGGAAGTCTTTCCCACCTTGTGCCACAGTGAGAAGAAAGTTTATTCCCAGTGTTTGCCCCCCTCCCCTCCCCTTTATCTGCAGAAAGACTGCATCAAACAAGTGGTTTGTCCTCTCTGTGTGCAGCAGCAGTGTCAGGCTCAGTCTTCACTCCAGCCCCTCCTCGGCCGACCCCTCCCGTGTCCTTTCATACAAAAGACGCTGCAGAAGCCACGGCTGTTGTATTTAAGTTATTTATTTTATCACAAGACTGTGTAGTAATTTATACTGTAAATACTGAAAATACTCTATTAATACAAAAAGGACAAATGTGTATGGGAACAATGACAAGAAAAACCAGGAGAGATGAAGAGTATTAATATATGAAGATCCTTCTATTGTACATAACGACCACAGTTAAAACATGAATGTCTGCTGTTTTAGGGAGCTTGAAGATGTCTGTGTTTCTCGTGTGTGGTCGCTGAGAGTGAGCTGGGTTTAATCCGTTTGGGATCCAGTGTGAGTCTTTAGAGCAACCAACCTGGGTCGAGCACAGAGAGCAAACGTGGACGTGGCTGCTGCCTGTACATGTCAGGTCAACTGGTCCCAGTTTCACCAGTTCCTCTGAGCAGCATCTTAATGAATCTCATGAACAGTCACACACTCTTGCACATTCCAAACATGAACACACACACCAACAATCCCCTTATGGTGTAGCATCACATTCAGTTTACTGTGTCTTGGACTCCATTCCTGTTGCACCTGAATTGCCTCTTGCAAGAATTTGCACATTCCATAAATCCCTAGTCCATCCTGAGGCGTCGTGGCTGACGTCAGGGGCTGCTTCTGTCTGGTTGGATCCGAGCTCTGTGCAGAAACAGCTCCCATGAACCCATCGTTCCCTGGATGACACAGAGGTGTGCAGCTGGACAGTGAACAGCTGTGTGTTGGGATCTGGATCCATTCTTTGTCTTTAACTTGATGAAAATGATGGTTTGGGTGTCATTCAGACTCATTCTGGTTCCAGTCCTGCTTATTGATTCTGGTTCTTGTTCAGCCTTTGTTCGGATTCCTAGTATGTTATTCGAGTAAGCAAAGAAATGGCATTAAACCACCAATGTTCTTAGCAGATTTGTGCAGCCACAATGTTTTGTAATTATTTTTGTTCTAAGGTAAAAATGAACAACGTGATAGCTTCCCCTTGTGCATGAGTTTGATGCTTGAAGTTTTACCTTTGTTTTGGACAAATTGATAAATGCTCTGCTGCGTGGCTGACGACCGTCCTAGCATAAAAACTGTGCTCTAACATCCTGTCTGACCCTGTGTTCATGTCAGCTGCTTTCTGTTTGGGAGGGTGACTGACTCACACACAAGCTGCTCAGACAGTTGCTCAGAGTAGTTGTTTCCATCTGTGCGGGTTTAAGAGTCACTGCTCGGTGGGTCAGCTCCTAGATGCTGTGATGTTCTGTCCACCATGTTGCACGCACGATGCATAATGTAACTGTGCAGGACCAAATGTTGTTTTCAGGAATCGATGAGCGGGATTGAAAAAGCGTGTTTAATACCAAGCCAAAATTTGGAGCTGGTCTGAATTCAGAGCCACTTAGATATTCACCCAACACCTGCTGATGATCAACACGTCCATTTCCAAAGCTTCAGCCAGAGACAAAGGGCTGCAGAGGTGTTTCTGTTTTGTCCTGTTAGCATTGCTCTTATGTTGGAGATGTGTGATGTGTGAGAGCTCACAGCTCTGCTGAGTATCATGATGAGCTCATGGGCTCTAAGGCCAAATCAGTGCACGTCACAATGTGGACCTGCTCTTATGAGACATTAAAGGAATAATTCACCCCATATGAAAATGATCCATCCTGATGGTCTCCAGAAATACTGAAGTTAACACAGACAAAGAACTTCTTCCAGACCGGTTGTGCAGCTTCATCAAAGTATTTTATGGCCAGATGTTTGACTCCTGCTGCCTGATGATTTCCTTTATCTCACAAAGGGCTGTGTGACTTATCTTTGTCCCTCATTACCTCCCTGTTGTCATGTCTCCTTTTAAAAGTGCAAACCATCATTAGCTCTGTTTAAAAAGTGCGTTTGTGTGTTTCTCTGTTTAACAGTTGAAATTAAATGTGAGCACTGAAGCTAAAGTCAATCCCAAGATATATTTGCGACATTCTGATGCACATAGTCAGGAAATATTTTTAATAATAGTCTGGCTATTGCCCCAAATTCTCTCAAATGCAACTCGGCAACAACAACAAACTAGTCCCCAGCCTGTCCGGGAGCAGAGTCTATGTGGTAAATGGTGATTTACAGGATGCTGCTGTTGAGCCACGGGACACTTGGATGATGATGCACAAGCTGTTTGAAGGAATGTGACCTTTTCATCTTCTATCTGAGAGATTGTAAAACCTGTGGTGAAACACAGAAGACGACTAACTGTGAAGACAGCCACTGAGCTGTTGTGGTTAGTTGTGTTTTAACTTGTATATTTGCTGGCTGGATGTGTGAGTCCCGTGCAGATTTCCCCAGAAACTTGAAAAACAAAAGCTGCTCCTGAGCGGAGGGGATGAAACAGAAGTGACTGCAGATTCGGTGGCGTAATATTCCCTTTCCCTTTGTGTCTTTGTTTGGGTGTCTTTTCCAAAAGGGCGGCAACAAAATCTTACTTGAATACTTTAAATCCATAAAAGTGCTACTCGTTAGTTGTCAGTTGATTTCTGTTACTCTGAGGGGTTAAAAAACCAGCCACAGTCAGTTTGTGCTTCATCCTGTGAATGAGGCTCGGCTCTGTCAGACACGTACTGAACCTTTGGTTTGATTTTGGAGCAAAGATACGTTTCTGGTTTGTTTTACTCTGTAACCAGCACCAGCTGTGACTGAGCAAACACTACACACTTTACATTCACGGTTCAGACTAAGGGACAGTTGAAGTTTCCTCTGGCTGCAGAAGCACTGATGACTGTGTGAACTGACCCCAGGAAAGACAAAGCTTTGGTGGCAGGAGCAGCTGCTGGTCTGCACAGCCGGGTGGCACAACTTGAGTAAAGCCAGTGATTCACCTCTCACCTCTGTAGTTTGCTGTGTCCAGGCGGAAAGCAGAAAAACTCACAGCACTGAGTCGAGTGAAACCAGAACCTGAGCCAACACAAAATAACTTGGGAGGCAGCAGCGAAGCGAACACGACCTGCTCGGGCAGAGTCTCCTGATCAGCAACTAGAAGGCAAATATCATTACAGACACCTTTCTTTGTGTTTCTTTATGATTTGACATTTCAAGCTCTTTTTTTTACAGTTTGTCTTATTTTTGTGTGTCTGCGTGCACGTGTAAAATATGCATTCTGCATTATTACCACACAGTCGCCGTGCACATTTACACTCAGCATCACACACACTTTGACACACTTCACGCCTGTTGTGGTGGAGGTCACACAGGCAGGACGACGGCACTGTATCCAGTTTGTATATGGAGATCTGTTATTAAAACGCTCAACTGAGAACAGTTGTGTGATTGTGTGCTTGTACACTGTTACACTCCTGACACAAAGTCAACCAAATGACCTAAAAAGATAAAACAACCACACATCAATGCAGATTGATTGCAAAAAGACACAATCCAGCTACAAAATGGCTACAAATGAATGTAGACTGACCATAAAGCGATGCACAACAACCACACAGTATAAAAGTATAAGAAGCTGTGTTAGTTTTAGAGAATAGATTCATTAAGAGCTTGTGACAGCTGATCTTCAGTCAGGAGTAACAGAGAGACTGGATCCAGATTTACCTTCTTTGTGCTGTTCATCAAAAACATCTCTGTTCCTCTCTGATGACCTGTAGGGGGCGGTACAGGCGCATACGATCAGTTTGACTACTTCTCTGAACCCGCGGAGGAAGACACTTAAGTGCAGGACTTGAACTGGTAAAATAGTATTGTTACACTGTTGTATTTGTACTGTGCTAACAGTAAGTAGGCCTAGGTATTGTGAGTAGCGTACTTCCTGCACCATATGCAGCACAGGTGGAACGCAATAGGACTTTTATTTTGAAATACGAGCGGAAACGGCGTCGTGTTGACTCGACACAGTCGCGATTTCTGACATAAACAATAAAAGCAGAATCGTAACATGACATAAACAATAAAAGCAGAATCGTAGCACAACCGAGTAGGGCCGAGCAGGACCGAGTAGGACCGAGTAGGACCGAGCAGGACCGAGCAGGACCGAGCAGGACCGAGTAGGACCGAGCAGGGCCGAGCAGGACCGAATAGGGCCGAGCAGGGCCGAGCTCCGAATGCAGCCATAGCTATTGGTCGCTGTGAGAGGACGCTAAATTTTGAATGTTGGTTTGTGCATTGTGGTATGTACAAATTACAGACCTGTTCCTTTACTTAGCTTTGGTGACAAGTGAGCATCGAACTGGGTCTTTAAGGTAGGCTACACTGTTCTTTTATTTTGTGTTTTCATTATGTATTAAGACAGTATATTTGACGAAGGTTAGACACTGTAATGCACTGCACATATTGTGTATTTATTTAGTTTTTATGCTGAAAAAAACTTAGATAAAATCAACTGGACTAGATTTCTAGGTCGAAGGGACATTGTTAGCCCTGAAAGGACTGAAACGCCACCGAGGGGGATAAATATCTCTGGCTCAACACCAGTCAGAACTGATGAAGCCTCTTGGATGAGAGGTGAAACATTGTATAGACGAATGTCACAGCTACCTGAGAGAAACTGCTGGTTTGTAAGAGCTTGAAGAGACAATAAGCCTTCATCTTTAGTTACATTAGCCTGTTACAATGCCTTCTTTGTGGTGTAAAGTCTGCAGAGACCGGGGGCTCCCAAGATGTGATAACCATTGGGTCTGCATTAGCATGTTCACAGGTCTGTATTGTCCTGCATCACCTATGGAGCCAAAACTCTACAGCTGCAAATACACACACCGGTAGCGGACATCTGAAACCACAAGGAACACACTTGGTTGAACAGTACAAGCTTACCTGAGCAGGTCAACATCTGCTCACGCCAAGGACCAATCGCACTGGGATACGTGGAAGGTCCAACCTCTGTTCGGGGCAGTCCCCGCCCACAACAATAAAACGGGACAACAGACTGGGTTCGGGGCTTTTTGATGACGTATCGCCAACAGGAGGTTCGCCATTATTATTGTGGGAGCCCTGATGACGACACAAATAGGTAACTTAATTAGAAAGTTTGATTTTCTTTTTAGTTTTTTAACCAAAATTTTGTTGGTCAATTTGGAAAAGGGGAACCTTTGAATATTTTCCTGAGCTCTCTGTAATCTCCCTTTTGTTTCAAAATATTATTTTATTTATTTTACACATTTGCTACGACAGCTGTGAGAGGTGGTTTCATGTCAGCTGTGTTCAGCATCCCCCTGTGGAAAAGGAGCATGCACACACCATTAAAACTGCAATTATATTTGCAACTGATTCGTAGAAGTCCTGACCAGAAGCAGAAGGATGTTTGATGTAATGTACACAGTTTGAAATTAAAGTTGCAATAACTGGAATATTTCTTGCAGTTTCATCAGCATTCTTCCAAGGTTATTGTGCCTGATGTGCAATTTAAAGCCAGCGATGAGCAGCCAGTGTCCGGCACATTGCTCTAGAATCCAGAACTGACTGCACGCCTGCCTGTACTGTACCTACAGTACCTATCAGCAGCTCAGTCTGGCTCGCAGCCTGGGGTTAAATGTAGACTGAGTGGTTAATGTTCTTACTAACTTTGTCACGCTCTTACTTTGTTTTCTGTCCCCCTTGCCAGTGTGAGTGCTGGTGTGACACACACGCACTGATCAGATCACATGATAGAAATGGTTTGACCTATTCCGGTTTTGTTGTTACTAGCACTTGAGATACTGAAACACAGAAGGATATTGTATGTGACAACTTACATTGATGTACAAAAATAGAATCCATATTTAGTTGCTAGTAGGAGGAGTAGTCGGAAAAATATTCAGGATTAGGAAATTATGAGTCAAAATGATTTGAAATGTTTGTGCAGTAAACACATTCCACTTTGTTTCCTCCACAGAATAACAGATTTTCTAAGAGTCTGGAAGGTTGGGCAGAGAAATCGAAAATGTCAGTGTCAAGTTTTAAAAGGAAGTAAGTATTCATGCACTTAAAAAAACAATAAAACCATGCAAACGCATATATCATTTCATGATGTCTTTTAAATAATATATTTATAACGAGTCAGATTCTACTTAGTTTTATTATAAAAGTCTTTTTTCTTTTTTGCAAGTACAAACAGTAAACTAAAATATTAGGCTAAAAAGACAGATGAGGCCGTGCACTCTGGCCAGGATTTGAACCTGGTACTTCCATCAAAGATGACAGATGTGTTACCAGAGTTCAAGAGCACCTCAGGACTCAGCCAGTAACCATATCAGTTTACTGTATCTGTGCAACTTCAAGATAATCCAGGTTTAACATTAACTGACTGACAGTCTGGAGCCGGGATCGAAGTTCTGTGTGGCTTTAAAGGAGTTGGTTAAAAAAAGGCAATACAGATTTAAAGTTGTTTTTGGTTCCTTAATGATGCAGAAAATGTTCCAGCACTGACAGGTGATCCAGCTGTGGAGCGGTCCTT